TTTTTCTGCATCTTGCTTAACTTTTTGGAATTGCTGTTATCACTGGAGGAATTTTGTTTAAAGATTTGTAAATTTGCTATATCATTTTTTGTTTGTTATTGTTATGTTATTTTTAGAGGAAGTGATAGATTTTTGCCAGCAATTTTCATTATATTCCAGACTTTTTTTGATTTGATAAGGGAGTTTATTTTATTTATGTAATCTAAGTATGATTTTCTTTTAGCTTCTTTTCTGCATGTTTTGCTCCATTTAGTTGGAATAGATTTAAATTATGAGTTTTAGGTTGGGTATTAAAATTCCATAGTGCTGCTCTACGTAATCTTATTGCCTTTTTGCAAACTTCGTTGAAGCATACATTTTCTTGCAATTGCTATTTATGCTTCAGAGAAATATTCAATAGATTTTTTTTTGTTGTTTTGTCTGTTAATTTTTGATATCATCGGTTTTTATATCCCCTCCAGTCTCTGCTTTGTTTAGAGTTTCCATCGAGGGAGATTGTCTTTAATCAATTCTGAACTCTTCAGTATAATAACATAGTGATCACTGCCACATGAATCATTGTGTACTTGCCAACTGTAATCCATAAAAATAGAGAGGTCACACAGTGATAGGCCAATAGCTGAGTATGTACCTGATGCAGGGTGTATTAGATATGTATTATATTTATCATTTAGGAAACAAGAAATTGTTGTTAATTATATTTTCCAGGTTTTTCCTCTTTTGGTCAGAGTTCTGACTATTATGACTGTTAAACTTATTTGTTCTGTACGTATAGATTCTTTTTTGTTTGAGAATGACAGGACAGGATTTGTTTTGATTATGGGTGTTTGATTTATGTGTGGTATACTGAATTTTAGTAGTTCTATTAATTTTTTAATTCATTTATTAGAGTTTTAAGATCTTGGTTTCTTATTGTGTTGTTCTCTTGTATGACATTTTGGTGATTTGTTATTTTAGTAGTATTTGTGTGTGATATTGGAAGTGAGTTAGTTTCAACCTGTTTTCTAGCTTCTTGGAATGACATGTTTTGTGTCTATTTTATTATTATTATTATTATTATTTGTTTTTCCTTTTTCCAGATGTTACACATTTTAGAATCTGCTGAGTGGTTTTGTTTGCAGTTTGGGCACAAAGGTGGCCTTTTACAGGGTGATTCTTCATGGTCAGTCTCAAATTCCTCACATCTTTGACAGACTGATACTCTCATACATTGATCTTGTAGATGGCCAAATTTCTGGCAGTCGTGACATCTACAGGGTTTAGGGATGTATGACTCTACTTTGGATATTGTGTATCCTATTTTTATTTCTTTTGGAAGGGTAGGTTCATTGAAAGTCGAAATGTATGTGTTGGTGTTTATTGATGTGCTATTTCTATTTATTTGTATTCTGTTGATATGTGTTATGCCTTGTTTTTTAGGGTGTTATCATTTTTAATTTCTTCCAGTGAGTAGAGTGACAGTTCTGGGCATTTTATTACTCCCTTAGAGGAGTTAAGAAATTTGTGGGATAAACTTTTACTTTCATTTGATTGATTTTTAATATTTTCTGCATCTTTTTGGTTTTTACTTGAATTAGAAGTGTTATTTTTACTTATTTTTACTGATTTTGGTTCTATCATGGCTGATATAACCTTTTGCAACACAAAAGGTGACACTTGTTATTTCGCCCTCTAATGATGATGAAAGTTGGAATTTTTTTCCTGATATTTTATTGTCACTTTCCATTTCAGAGTTTTTGTACTGTCCCTTAGTTCATTTATTAGAGTTTGTCACATAATTTTGTGTTTGTATTTGCCGTCTGTGCTCCCCACCTGCCTCAGAGTTCATTCTTAAGGGCACGCTATCGGGGAAACTAATCCCATTCACCCTGATACATCAGGGCTACACAGACAGAATGGTCAGGTCAAAAGTGGCTGCAAGCACCTGCATTTTCCACGATCTCTACCTAAGTATATGATGTAAGGAATCGCAGCTATGTTGTAGCCATTCTCTTTTATCCCAACTAGCCCTTGCCACTACATGACTAGCTGATTGGATTGAACTGGGCTATTTCAGCCACCTGTCTATCCTAGGTTAGGACCAAGGTGGTATATTGTGGAACTCCTGGCCATTTTATACCAGGTCAGGATTCACCAGGACTCTGTCCCTGGGCATCATGGATCACCACTCATGGCAAATAGGTGGCCCCATTAAGTGGAATTTGTAGTTTTTGAGAATCGTTTTTTGTAAATGTATGCTTTATATATTGCAATTTTATAGGTACTTTTAAATGAACAGGTAGTTTATGCACAACATTTTGTATAAACAGTTTTTGGATTACGATTTTTGTTGGTAGTTTAAAAGTTTTTTTGTTTTTTTTTCCCCAATAGTTTCTATAGAAAAATTATATTTTTTCTGAAGGCACCATCCTGGCTATAAATGCATAGGTTGTAGGCTAATTGATGGCATGTAGATGATATTTTCTCATACAAACAATTAGTTTCTAATCTATCTTGCTTCCTATAATATGCCTGATTGTAGTTTAATGGCATACCCAAGACATAAGTGAACTTGTTTTGTGAAAAACACATGACTGCAGTTTAATTTCATGCCAAGGATGTGGATGCAATTTAACATCATGCCCAGAACAATCTATGAATATGATGAAGTTCTGATTGTTTGAGTTTTTAATAAGTTCAAGTGCCATCTTAATGGCCTGTAACCCGGCTGTAAATATGGAAGCTTGATTTGGTAGTCTAATTTGTTTGTGAAACTGTCCATCCATAGCTGCTGCTCCAATTTTATTTGAGATTTTATAGTCATCAGTACATATGGCTTGATATTTGTAATATTTGTTTTAGTTTAGCAAACTTGCTTCTATTTATGATATTTTTGGTGTTTTTGTTGTGTTAGTGTTATGTCTATATGAAGTCTGTCAAGTATCCATGTAGGTGATTTGGTAATGTTAAGAAGGGGCTATGATGTTGGGACATTTGCTTATTTGTGTGAGTGCTTCTTTTATTTAGTGTCCAAAGGAGGAATGTTTGATGATTTTCTGGTGTAAAAGTGCATGTATTGTAGTTTGAAAGTTCTTAGGTGTAATGGAGATTCATTGGCTTCTATAGGTGAAGTTCGGAAGACTTGTCAGGCTGAGTCTCACTACATGGTTCAGGATTGGTTGTAGTATTTTGATGTAAAATTTACAAGTGAAGCTGTAGGTCATGCAGCCATTATCTAATTTGGATCTTATGTGTGACTGATAAATTTTTAGCATTGTAACGGTCTGTTCAACAGTTAATGTTTGAGATTGGTCTTACTGTTTTAGATTATTTATGTGATTTATGAAGTTTGTTGTTTATTATTATTCCTGAGAATTTAGTCTTCTGAACTATTGCTCGTGTTTTCATTGATTTTTAATTTGGGTTCTAGTTGATATATTCATATTCTGCAAAAATATATGTATAATGTTTTGTCCCTTGAAAATTTAAAACCATTATTCTATTCTACTGAGGAAATCTTGCATTTGCCTTTGCAATGACTACATGTTGGAAGATGAGCAGTTGAATGAGAAGTCATCTATGTAAAATCCTGTGTTAACTGTTTGAGTGATGTTAATCTTGATGATGAACACAGTTACAGAAAGTATACTGCATTGAGGTACACCTGTCTTTTGGTCATACAGTTCAGATATTATGCTACCAAACTGCACTTTAAAGGTTCTATGAGAAAGGAAGTTCTTATTGAATATATTGTTGTTTTGTGGTATAAAATGGCTGTTATTGCTATTGCTTGTAAGTGGGAGTTTACTTGAAGTGTTTCATGTAGTATAGTTTTTTTTTAATTAGTTTAAATGTACCTTCAGTTAGCCTTTTTGTTGGTTATTGATGTGTCGATTTTAACATACATATATTCTTTAATTTGTAGATATGGTTTTCTTTGAGGTGTGTTTCTTGAACACAGATTACTGTAGGATTACAATTTATTTGATTTCATCATAGTTTGGCTTTACTCTTCTACAGTTCTATTGTATGAATGTTGTATTGTTATATGGTTTCGTATAGTTATTTATTTGAGAGTCCAAACTGTTGTGTTTTTTTGAGTATTTGGGATCACCTGGGTAAAATATTATTATGCATATACAAAGGTATGATAATATTAAAGTTTTTGACATTTTTATTTCATTTTTATGTTCAGTGTCCATGCTTTCTACACTCTCAGATCTATTAATAGTTTTAATTTTGTGATTTTTATTATTGATATTGAGAGATATCTGGGTTTTGGGATGTGTAGTGTTTTGATGTTCTCTGTAACATTTGCTCAGTTGTTGATTGAGTATGATTTATAGTATCCTGGGTGGAAGGTTTTCATTTTTTATGGTTTGCTTTGGTGTTACTAATTGGTTCTGAATTGATGATATGGGATTTCATTGTTTGTATTAAAACTTTGAGTTCATTGATTAGTGTTATAAGTGTTAGTTGAGTTTGTTTTTGTTGACTAAATTCTTGGTTACTATTTATATTTTGTTGTGGTCTGGTAATAATGGTGTATGTTGTTGAGAAGGTTTTGCCAGATAGGGCTTCAACAAATCTTCTGGTTCTTGGGAATGGTATATTTCTCGTATATTTCAATTTTATGATTTTCTTTTCTTTTTGCCAAATTTCACTAAATTGTACATACGCAGGATGGATTCATCCACAGTTTGTGCATTGAACTGGATTTAGGCATTCTCTTTTACTGAATGGTTTGGGTTTCTTTGGCTGCAATACCCACATATATGTTGCCTGTTGTATTTTAATTGACACCTGAGTGGATTTGGTATGTAAGATTCAACCACAATGTATCCAAGGTCACCCAGTAATTTACTCTTGATTCCATCCAAAGTAACAGATTGGTGAAACTCAACCACAAACTTACTAATTTTTTACAAAGCCAATAGTACACAGGAATTTACCTTCATTAATCAGTTTAATACTTATAAATGTTGTCATACTTATAAATATTTAAACTGATCAGTACTTACCCTAGTTAATGTTGCCCATACTTCAGTATCTTGAAGTTCTTGCATTTCATGAATTCGTTTTAAGCAATCAAGGCTTTCATCAAGCAGGAATGTGGTGTCATTCATTAGCATATTAACAAATTTTACAAACTGTTTGCCTTTCCTGGAAGAAAAATATAGAGTAAAAACATGAAAAATATAAGTATTAAAATTAAAATCTGAATATATCTAGCTGAAATGAATTAAATAATCAACAATCAATTTATTTACTGACAAGATAATGCAACAATTTAAATGAGCTGGTCAGAAAATGCTGTTCTGATTGTAAAAAACTAAAAATTAGGCAATATATGCTATGTGAGCAAATGAAATTCAGAAAAATTTAGTTTCAAATGTTGTCCTTATATAATAGAATTTGAGATTTATTTATGATATTCTATATTTCTAAGTATAAAATGCCATGAATTTACTTTATTTATTTTTTTTTTTTTTTAAAAGTAAAGAAACTATTACATTTTTTTTGAAAAATCATCTAACCCCAAGCAAGACAATAAAGCAACTAAGATGCAAGGGGATCCTGAGTGTGAAAGTATATAAGAAAAAGAAAGACATTATTAAGGAAAGAGAACAAAAAGACAGGAATTAAGAAAATGGAAGATAGCAACTGACATTTTAAATTTTTGAAGATCAAATTTGACTGGAAAGCAAGAAACTGAAAGAGTTCCACAAGTGAGAAGTGCAAGAGGAGAAACTATTAGCACAGAACTTATAGTTACAACTAGCAAAAACCAGCAATCTAATACTGCACTTAAATTCATAAAGTTGAAGTACCAAAGAGAACATTTACCATGAAAATATTTATAGAAAAGGCACAGGGAAGCTAAGTTTTGGCAGTGGGAAAGTGATGAAAGCCAAGATACCAGGTCAGGACTGATATAATTGTAGATTCTTCTTTGGATTTTATCAAGAATCTCTAAATATATGACCAGACGTGACAACAATATTCAATTCCTGGACAAATGGTAGATTTATAAATGTATAAGATAGATTCTGGCAAGAAAAATTATCTAGCACAACACAGTGAACCAACTTTCCTAGCAGTAGACCTAGCAATTGATTCAATATAATGTTTCAACTTCATGTCAGTGGAAATTGTTTACTTGAGAAGGTGCAATGTCACTCTCCTGGAGGTTAGCATCAGTCATGGTGATCTAAGGCAAAAAATTTTCTCTAAGATGATTAAAAGAGAGCAGTTTTATTTTGAAGGCATTAAAATTAACAAGCTATTTCTTGTTCCAGTTGTAGGTAATTATTGAAATCAGCTGCAAATTTGACTTCATCAAACTGATTAGACTTACTATTAAAACAGGAGTAAATAATTGTGTTATCAGTATAGATACCAAGTTGAGGACTGATGACACCAGTAAGATCATCAATGAAAATTAGGTTAAATGCATATCCAAGGACAGAGCTGGGGGTGGGGTATACTAATACGAAAAGATCTAAATGAGTGGCTGTTCAAGACACCTTTCATTTTGCAATTTGATAAAAAAAGATTAGATGAGATGAAAAATCTATCAAGAAATACCATAGCCTTTCATCTTGTGAAAAAGACCATCATGCCAAATCCAGTCAAATGCCTTCAAGATATCCAAAGAAATTCTTATCTAAAAATTGATAGACTTTCAGCAATAACCATTGACGCATTAGCAGTTGACTTACAGAAGCAAAAATCATATAGGTTGTGTGAAAGAAGACACCACGATGTGAGATGCTTAACTAATTCAGAATTGATTAATCTAGTACTTTGCTAAAAAGAGGTAAAATCTAATAGGCCAATTAGTTAGAAGGATCAGACAGTTCGCCAGAGTTCTTAAAGACTGGAACTACAGATTTTCAACAAGCAGGAAACCATTTATTCTAGAGTTTAGAGAGAACAGTAACCAGTTCAGGGGATCATTTCTTTAGGACTATTGCAGAGATACCATCAAGTCCACATGCTTTGTAAGGAACCAGTTTAGAGATAACAGAAAGCATGGACAGAGTTATATGCATATCTGTTATAACTCACCCCTAGCGGTTATAATATTATGTCTTGCTTAGGCTACTCGCTGTGATGGCTGTTAGAAATTCTCTTGACTGACTCCAATGGACTACCCTGACCCACTTGGAGTTCTTTATGTAAGGCATCTTGCTGAGTTCATTTGTGTTAATTGGGGGATATCTTATTTATTCCACAATATCCCCCCTTTCGAATTTTTTTTTAATTAGTAAACATTTTATTTCTTAGTATTCACTGAAGTTTGCCAATGTACTGAACTTTGTATTTCTTGTTTTGGGTCAACCTCTACTTTTTCTTTATGTTTCCTTTTCCTGATAATCATACTTGTACATTCAAACTAATTCTTGGGGTGTTGGTACATCAAAAGAATCATACAGTACTTGTATACATTCTTCCTTTCTTGTGAGCCTTTCTTCAGTAAACCTTTTCTTTAACAGATTCCAATGCCTTTTGTGTTCCCATTTTTTCCTTCTACCATATATATCATTTTTCCAATTCATGATCGTATTACACATTTCTATTTTTATATACTCTGAAAAACACTTTTACACCAAGTTTGAAAAATTTGGTGTCCTTTTTGTTATCCATTCTTATTCTTTTTTGACCTGGTAACAACTTGTAGAACACCAATTTAATTTTTCTTGCAAACATGACTTCTAATGGTGATATGCCGGATGGTGTATTGTGTTTCAGCATTATCTCAAGAATTTTTGTAGTGCTTCTTTGCTCAATTTTTCATTACTTGCTTTTATTCAAAGCTCTATTAAAAGTACCCAGAAACTGTTCAGCTTGTCTGTTTGACCTTGGGTGATATGGTGGGTAGTAATATATTCAATTGAGAACAATTTACAAAATTCTTTAAATTTGTATGCAGTGAATTGTGTACTGTTATCTGAAACTATGGCATCCAAAATGCCATATCTTGCAAAAAGTTCATGTAAAAAATTAACTGAAACTGTGGAAGTTGGTTTTACTTACAAATTTCAGGCCACTTAGTAAAGCTATCCACTATCACAAGATAATGTGATCTGTTTATTGGACCTGTGAAATCTATGTTCAGTCTTGACCACAGAGTATGTCTTTGGCCAAGGTTGTAATTTTGTGGTAGATAATTTTGCTGCCAGAGCACAACTTCTGCAGGCTTTTACTAATTTTTCAATGTCTTGATTCATTTTGGTCCAGTATAACATTGTTTCACATAAGAGATTTCATCCTTGAAATTCCAAGATGTCCACTATAAAATTCATTTAGTAATTGCTTTTGTAATATGCTAGATATTACTATTCTTTGTGCAAACATCAGTACTCCATCACATAGCAAGTAATCATTCAAGTCTGGATTGTGTTCTAAAAATCATCTTTCTTACTTTCTTTTAGTCTTTTTATTTTCAAAATAAACATGTATTGTTCTGCTTTTACTTTTATTTTTTCCAGGGCAACTGATAGTTCACGTACTACATTGCATAATACATTTTTATTTCACTTGTTAATGCTGCAATAACAGTGTCCTCAAATGATTCAGTGATTTTTGGTATCAATCTTAATAAACCATCAGCATGTCCTAATTTTTTGGATGGTTGGTATTCCATCCTGAAATTGTAATTTAATAAGATAGTAACCCAGCATTGTAATCTAATTGCTGTATGCACAGGAATTCCTTTTTTCGAACAATAATATAGGTCGATGGTTTGTCTGCAAACAAACACTCCTTCCTTGTATAAATTTGTAAAATTTTTTCACTGCAAATATTATTGCTAATACCTCTTTTTTTTCTATCAGTAATAACAAATGTGAAGCATGTGTGATGGCTTTCATGTTACCATCATCATATTTATGTAAAATTACTGCTCCTATAGCATAGTCACTAACATCTAAAGCCAATATGATTTCTGCTTTTGGAACATAGTGTGTTAATGATAAGTCTGACATTTGTATTTTCTTGATTTCCTCAAACACCCTCTGACATCAGTCCAGTTCCACTTTACACTGTTTTTAAGCAAATTGTTCAGTAGAGCACTCAAATTCTGCATATTAGGTATATATAAATTTGATAATAGTTTGCTAGTCCCAGAATTGCCAGCGACCTAGTAACTTTGTTGGAGGAGGTATATTCTTAATTGCACTTGCCTTCAACAGATCTGGTTGACAACCATTTTTATCAATGATTTGTCCTAGCTACTTGATTTTTTTACTCTTGTATTTTTTCAAAAAGTCTTTTTACATACCCAATATGTTGTTCCTTAGATACACTTTTAATTAATATATCATCCAGATAAGCAACTGCAAAATCATAATCTGCAAGTATAGTATCAATAGCTTGAAATATAGCTGGAGCTACTTTTAACCCAAAAGGAAGTTAGTTGAACTAACTCCCTTGTGCAATTTTTATAGTTGTTAACTCTGAACAATCTTCTTCATTGTGTATTTGCAAATACACTTCAGAAAGATTTTTCCACAGTTTAAATTCACAAAAATTTCCTCTGGACTTGGTAATGGGTAGCTATGGGATTCTAAACATTTGTTTAACCCTGTTGAAAAATTAGCACAAACACATTTTTTTTTTCTTTACATACACTGCTGGTGCTGCCCATTTTGAATTCTGTTCAAGTTTCAAATGAAAAAAGAATGTTGAAAGATTTAGATATTTCTGTTATCTCTAATTTTAAGTACTAATTTTGCTTTAATAAATGAAAGGCATTATAATAATAAATGATAACATAATAATAAATTAATGTGTCAGTATGTTCTATCAATGTTTTAGCATACTGTGTTAGGAATTCTTGCATGTATTTTTCTGCATCTTTTTTCACCATTAACCCTTAAATGAAAATTAACCCTTGAGACATATCTGGAGTCAGTTCGTTTAATTCGAATGTTTCACACCAGTATATGTGACAAAATTTTGTCTCCTTTTTTTCATCAGATTCATACTTTTCCGATGAGTATTGAATAACAAGCTTTTCTTGCTAAAAATTTCAGTTAGAATTTATACTGTTTCTTCAAAGCAAATTTCCCTGTTTTTTCCCAGTATTCCCAAATTACAGTATTTTTCATGTTCTACCACTGATAACTTTCTCAGCAAAGTCTTGTCTTTTTTCTCATCTTCCTAGTCACTGCATTCTTCTCTGAAAATTTACTTGTATCTTCTAAAATAAGCAGTAAAGATAATTATAGCGAAGAAAACGGTGACTTACCTCATCAAACCAAGCGACAGCGCGTTGCATGTATTTTACGACGGAAAATGTGGCGAAAAAGAAAATTACTTAACAAACATTACATGCTGCAGATGGAATATTTGAATTAAAAAAAACAAAACAAAACAAAAAAAAAAAAAAAGTCTGTCGCAGGAGTTGCTATAAAAGTATTTTGATATGCAAAATACTGAACATCCTCTCCCAGCTGTCGACGAATGGAAAAAATGCTTGGCCGATAAAAGCAGTTGGTGTTCTCGAATTAAAAAGAAGAAATTTGGGTATTTTGGCTACCGTGTTTGTTTGAGAATGAGTTATTTTTCTGACTGGTTGCGTGCATTGTGATTTGTGAGATAGTACCTGCGAATCGAGTTTTCGGCATTTCTTTCTTTTATTTACTCCACAACAATATCACACAGTAGAGATTCAGTTTTAAATGGAAAGTCAGATGAGTTAAGAATAGAATTAGAAGAGAATTTATGAACAAAACATTTTGCTTTATCAGCAAATAACACCTCAAATTGAGTGAAAAGAAGAGGGACTTACTCTTATTTAAGACACTATTACAGAGCCAGCAGTAGTCATGAGAACTGAACTTCCTAGAAGCTATACAAAACTTCATTCTGTCAGCAAACAAGAATATAATACAAGCTTCTTGAATATTATGAAATAAAACATTTCCTGTTTGATTTAAATTCTAAGATGCTGATATTTTATAAAAATATTTTAGAGCAACCACATACATTAAGTACTGAGAAATCTGATAATCTGAAACAGTTTCATGTGACTAAATTTCACAGCTTAGGGTTTGTTTAATGTAACATACACAATTATAAGGTAAAACAACAGCTAAAGGCATCAATGATAAATATACGGATAATATACGATGAGCAATCATATTGTAAAAATCTTTTACAAAATTTTACAAATTTTTAGTATATTAAAATGAGTATTTTAAGTACTACAAACGAAAATGAAATTTAATCAACTTGGAATTTTAATGATACAAAAGTAAAAATTAATGTTTTATTACATGATACAATAGATTTTTTTGTAACTGGTTAACATTACTAAATTGTAATATAAAAAATAAGTAGCAAGCATATAGTTCATAAAATTCTCAATCACTGAAGTAAATTTCAAATGCATAATTAATCACCTATAATAAGCAAGAAATTTATCCATATAACATATTAAAAATTGCTATTATTTTCATGTATTCTGATCCACAGTTTTAGAGTTAAATTACAGAAAGCTTAAAATATCAATGACATAAGTAAAAACTAGTACTTACTGAGCTTCTTCTATAATTTTTTTCTGATGGGATGGAATACCCCACATTGTTTTAAAGATGATGCTGATATGATAACGTATTGTAAACTTATCATAAAATTCACTGCTAGCTCCAGTAGTTTCAATGTCTAAAAATATAAAACAAAGGAAAAAAAAAAAAAAATGAATCGGAATATTTTGTGTGTGAATTTCTGGGATGAGGAGTTTACATTCAGACTGATGTCCTCATTTTTGTTGTTATATGTTGATTCCTTCAGACATCAGAAGGACATGGTACATATGCTTGGCTTGAAATTAACATTTTTCCCAAGCACAATAAAACATTAGTTTAGAACAACTAGTGCCCGGCTCAAGGACTGACCTCACAATTACTTTCTCACTAAAATCATGAACTAACACTTTAATTTACTAGGCTATTGTCTATGGGCAGTAGGTACTTAAGCTCAATGGAAACAGGGTGAGCAATAACTGAGCAGTGCTAAAAATAAGAACGAGATAAGATATCCTAGACATGGGCAGTAGAACAAAAACAGCCTACCCCTGTGAATTAAATAAAGGGTTCAATTCGGAATTCCCTATAGGTTAACTGGATCAGCATACATCTGATGAAGTCCAGAGGGCACAATGGCTGAAACTTCATGATAACACAAACAATGATGAGGACAATAGCCCACATGTAAACAGTGTAAATAATGATAACTCCTCATTCCATAAATTCAGACAGAAAACTTAAGCACTTTTTTTAAAACTGGTGAATAAAACCTAAATGAAAAAAAGAATGTTGAAGGATTTAGATATTTCTGTTATCTCTTAATGTGAAAATATTAAGATATTTTGCTTTAATAAACAAAGGGCAGTATAATAATTGATATAAATATAATAATAAATTATTGTGTCGGTATTTTCTATCAATGTGTCAGTGTACTGTGTTGAGAATAGAATCATTAAATCAGATCCTGAGAAGCATTGCCCATTAAAATTGTTCCACCCCCACCCACAAATTTAAAATCTTTAATAAAAGACACTTGGGTGTATGCTTATTACACAAAGTGGATACATGAATTTACAGACAAAATTTAACCATTAGTAGAAACTCCCAATAGTAAAGAAGTCACTAGAAGCCTTTAACCAAATAAAGAATTAGAGGAACATACTCTGCACTCAATAGACAAAAATATACCCTCTGAGGGAGAATACAATGAATCTGATGCTATTTCTGGAGGACATTCTGTAGCGTTCATGTCAAGGATGCTACAGGGGAGGAAGCTGAAATACCATATTGCAGAGAAAGAAGCATTACATAAGTGGAGCCACTGTTTTGTACAGCAATCTTCACCTTGATTATAGACCAGGTCAGTAGTCATTACATTCAATAGTGAAAAGCATACCAATGGAGACTGGAAATATATAATGTATTGACCTGGTAGAGGGAACACGATCCTGATACATTTACTACAGTGTACCCTTGTTTGGCTATTACTACCTCAACACTCACAGTCGTTCACAATGGACTACATCATCCTGGAATAACTTGGCTCCTCCATTATATCAGCATAAGAAATCTCCTGTTCTCTATGAGTGTGTGCCAAAATTAAACCTCACTTTTATATCCCACTAAAAGAGAGACTTATCAAAAAAAAAAAACATGGAACAGTTTAGTATTGATTTCAAGGGATCTCTGCTTTCTATCACTCATATCTACTTACAATAGTTAACAAATATTTGCATTTCCCAAGTTGTAAAATGCACACAACAAGAGTAACGAAATGTCTAGATATATAATTTAGTCTAGGTGGAATGCCAGGTTACATATATTCTGACAGATGTATGTCTTCCCTGTCCAAGAAACTGAAAGATTATTTTTTTCAAAAACGTGTTACCACTTGTAAAACCACACCATACCACCCAACTGGGAATGCACAGGTAGAACAGTTTAATGGCACCATATGCAAGTTGATTTGTTTGACCCTAAAATCATGTAACTTGTCTGAAAAGTATTGAGAAATCATGCTTCCTGAGGTGTTATTCTCCCTAAGTTAGTTGTTGTGCACAGCAACAAATGTTATGCCTCATGAATTATATTTTGCATTCCAGCGATGATCATCTAAGTGAAAATCACTGCCCCCTTGGCTAATGACACCTGGACTTACATTACTAAAGAAGTTCAAGAGAAATAATAAAAACGAACTGTTTGTGGATCAAGTTGAAATCTTTGACAGTAATCCTGACTTATACCAACATTAGACATCTAGGTGTATGGGAGTTAACAGTGGCAGTTCACAATTTTGTACCCTGTCATGAAGTCCAGACACTTCAGTGTCCCCTCTACTGTGAAACAAAATATGGAATACTTGGTAGTGAGTGTACAAGAGGAGGAGGATATGCCATGCCAAAATCAAGATGATGATAAAACAGGAACTAAGTAGATTCGGTCAAATGTAAAAACCTCCTTATCAATATGGCCATAACTCTTAATGTTGACATGTTTTCTATAAGGAAAGTCAGTTATCTGCCATGCAGGATACATGCTTAGGCAATCATGTATCTTTTGATACATAACTGACAAGGCAGATTTTTTCCCACAGTAGGTTGCCATTTCTTTCTGCGGTAGACCAGTTGCTATCCAAGACTATAGAATCTGGTCTGTCCTGCTATTTACCCATAGCTGAGGGGGGAGAAGAGGATTCATACCTTTCCCAAAGGTATTAGAATGTAAGAGAATGTAATAGATGTGACTGAAATTCGAACTTGGCTCTCTGATTCTTCAATCCGAGCCACTATCCATTACTCCACCATGCCTCCAGGGAAGAATGCACAATTTATTGGCTTCAATACTTAGAACTAGAACCCTGTGGTGACTATGCCAATACTAATAAAAGGTAAATAATTCGCTGCCTCCCTGTAGCTAAACTCTCAGTTGAATAAAGCTTGGCTTGCAGCCCCAAGTATACATGGCATTCATTTTCATTACAGAAAGCAAGAATTTTTTTTTGTTAACTTGAATTAACCATTAACAAACAACATTTATGTGTTGTTTTCAGTTTATCATAAACTAAATTGAAAATTAAAGGAAGAATTTAAAAAATGATAAACATGGAAAATTTAGTCATGATGCAAGGCAGTTAATTGTAAATGTAGATAAAAACTTTAAAATCTTTAAAGACTGAATTGAAATACACTAATATTCTTTATGTCGAAAATGAATGCATAGTGAACAATTCTGAAATTATAAGTTACTCTATGAAAATTCTTAAGAACATTTCTATATAAAATTATTCAACATCATTTAACTGAAATTTTTAAATAAAGTTGTGATTTTTATAAAAGTTACAGTAAAATTTAACTAATCTTTTGTATTTACTCATTTTTAAAACTTTAATATTTTAGCTTATTTAATGGTATTTTGGATAATTAAAGTGGTTTTTGGGGATGATTCTGAGACAATGATGGTAAAAAAAGGCTGTCAGCTATGATGGCTTCCTCAGTAGTATTGTCTTACAAGACAATAACCTAATGGATTAAAGCAGTAGTTTGTGAATTTGGTGGCATAGTAATTGCATGTTTAATTCCTGGGCCAAGTAATACAGATAAAAAAGTAAAAGCAGTACTAAAAGAAAAGAAATTCCCTGAAGGATACAGAGATCCAAAGACACTTGAAGAATGCCAGAGGGCACAACAGCCTAAATGTGATAATAAAAAAAAATCTGAATGTAAATAATGAATCAGAATATATTCCTGAAATTAGCATAACTAATATATTTTACAGATTGGAATAATATTTTTATATTATACAAATCAAGAAATTTATATATATATATATATATATATATATATATATATTTATTTTGTTGGGAAATTTAACTTACCTGTATAAAATTGCATTAAGGCAGGAACCATGTAATTAAGTGCTAGTGGGTGGCCAAGCATCATTTCACTTAACTTGGCAGTTCGTGGCTGAAAGCTTGGGCTAATTACAAACAAAACTTCAACAAGTTTAGCCACTAGATAAGGGTTGTTAAAGTAATTTGAGCTGCACACAAATACAATCAGCATGCGCACCAACTGGTTGACACTAGGTTCACTACCGAGCACTTCACATTTGTAGCTGTAAAAAGAAAGATTTTAACTAAATACAACTAAATTTTGTTTACAAAAAATAAACTGATTACAATGTCAAAAGTTGTGCTTTTGGATCTGTTCAACACAGAACTCATTTTCTTCATGTCAACAATTTAGAAACAATTAAGGAAAGTGGAATGTGATTTTGTTTAGATAACATTCTATTTTTATGAGTTAAAATGCCTGATTTTTCTGCATATTGGATATTTCCTTGTAATACATTAATTTAACAATTACAAACATTCAATTAGTTTTCAATTTGTATAGCATATGTAAGAAGGCACAGCAATTTGTTTTTATTTTTTCATTAACAGTCAAAAAAAATTTAAATAATTTCAAAGATTAAAATTAGCATAAAAATTTATTATAATTTAAGAAAAATCACAAAAATTAGAATATGCATATCATTGGTTGTATCATGCATATAATTTTTCAGTATAAAGCACAAAGAATTAAACCCAAGTAAGTTTTCAAAAGAAAATTGATGCCCATAGCATTCTTTAACTTTCTTCGTAAGGTCTTTGACAAACCATAACAAACTTTAATATCCTTCTATTAGAATGTTCTAAAATGTAATTTATGCAATCCTAAGGCTGTATACTGAAGAGTTCCCACCTCAACCAAGCGGGTTCTATTTATACTCGCGCAGACATCACATCTGCTCTCTCCTTTGTATTCAGATTGTTTCCCTCTTCTTCTGAACTGCTGCCTGCATACCTTCGGGGTTTTCTTATATGGCGTTTTGGTCGTCTTAGGGCTATAGGGATATCTGCTTCTTCCTTCTCCTCCTCCTCGCTTTCTCTCTCATGTTGTATATCTTTCTGCTCCCCAAGGTCATCGTTGAAAGGGAAGTCGTCATCCCTTGGTTGTTGGCGAGTCCTGTCTTCGGGGATTCTTTTCATTTGTGATGTGTGTCGTAAAATAAGTTTCTCACCTCGCATTATAATTGCAGATTCGCCTCTCCATGGTGTTGGGTGGCAAACTGGCGTTAGCTTGTTGTGTTTACTTTGTTTAAGTAGTATGACATATCCGGGGTCTATGTTAGTTTGTTTAGCTTTATTTTTTTGATCTGTGCGATTTTTCAATCTGTCTTTTTCTTTTTTGTCTTTTTGCCGTGCTGTTCTCCAAGCTTGGTTTCCAGGCCTCTTTTGTAATCCTGGTATGCTGATGTTTACTTCCCTACCCATGAGTAGCTTAGCTGGAGTTTCTCCCGTCATGGCATGTGAACTATTTCGGTAATATATTAGGTATTTTCCTAGATGTTTTCTCCAGTCCTTTCCTTCTGTGTTCATTGCCCGAATGGCTTTCAACATGGTTGTGAAGAACTGCTCGATCTCTCCATTAACTTGGGGATGATAAGGGGTTACCTTTCGGTGTTGGATACCCCATTCTTTGCAGAGGTGCTTAAACTCTGAGGATATGAACTGGGGTCCATTATCTGAAACGATAATCGCTGGAATGCCATGTGTATAGAAACACCTTTGGATTGTCGATATGATTGTATCAATTGACAGTACCGGCATTCACCTTCGGTTAGAGTCCTGGATGCATAGCTGATGGGGGATGAGTATCCCTTGTTTGTTTTGGCAAAGTATTGCTCCTAGTCCCACAGGACTGGCATCTACTATAACAGATTTTTGCAGTTTTGGATCCAAGTGCATGAGCGATTTGCTCTGAATGACTGCATTCTTCAGCATGAGAAAACAAGATTCTTCTTCCTCCGTCCACTGCCATTCCATGTTTGCTCGCGTTAACATTTTTAATGGTTCGCTGAGTGTTGCCAGTCGTGGAATAAACTTTGCGAGGTAATTGATTAGATCTAAGAAACTACGTATATCCTGGACATTTTCAGGGTTTTTGAAATTTCTGATTGCTTTTATTTTCGAGTCAGTCGGTCTGATCCCTGTATTGGACACTATAAAACCATGGAATTCGATTTCTTCACTATTGAATATGCTTTTGTGCTCTGCAATTGTGAGGTTGTTTTCTTTCAATGTGCCTAATACCATATCTAGGGTTCTGTTCTCTTGTGTCTTTGCCCCAGATTAGAATGTCGTCTGACCCATTGCAGCAGTTAGGGATTTTCTGAAGGATTTGTTGAAGCAATCGTTGCCCTTCTTCGGCTGCGGATGTAATGCCCTTATATCGGTAGATTCCGGAGTTGCATAAAAAGGTAGTGATGTCCCTAGATTCAGGCTCCAGTTCTATTTGGTGGGAATAATAGTTTAGGTCGATTTTTGAGAAAACATTTGCATTGCCATTTTTACTCAGTAACTATCAAATGTTGGTATTTGATAGCGAGTGCGTTTCACTGCTTTATTTGCCACGTGTAAGTCGGCACATATTCTAATTTCTCTGTTTGGTTTTGGTACTGCTACTAGCGGTGAGACCCACAAAGTGGGTCCTTCCACTCTTTCGATGATATCATTTTCTAGCATTTCATTGATTTTTTCCTCTACTGCTTGTTGGATATGAAATGGTGTCCGTCTTGGTGGTTGTGCAACAGGTATAACGTTGTCGTCTAGTCTAATTTTGAGTTGGAAATTTTTCATTCTTCCTAATCCTTCCAACGAGGGTAGGTGTTGAGCTAGAATTTCTTTTGTTGATTTCAGAATACTTTTTGTTGTAATCGATTTCACCTGTGGGGTGGTGATAAACCCTAGTTTGATGCTGGCCCACTTACTTAATATGTTACCACCTTGATATGCCTTTGTAACGGATACTTTGTGGGCTTTTCTTCTGGGACCATTCGTCAGCATTGCGAAAAATTCTCCTCTTAGTGGTATTGGAATATTGCCATAGGCTTTTGGTTTACAATTTGTTTCTTTTAATGTTTGGCTGTACTTTAAGGATTTCTTTAAACGTTTTGCCATCGATAAGGTTGATGTCTGCTCCAGAATCTATTAATATTCCGACTGGTATGTCATCAATATGGACAATTTTGCTATCTGCTGAATGAATAAGTTTCACCTGAAAAACGAATGCTTGTCTGTCTGAATTATCCGGATTCATCAATACCGGTTGGACGTAATTGTGACCGTCTGACATCTTCGTTTTCCCTTTACCACCGCTCCTTTTTTTTAAGCATGTTTTTTCAAAGTGATTTATTACTCCACATTAGTTACATTTTTTCCCAAATGCTGGGCATTTTGTTTGACAGTGTATGTGGTCGGAGCCATTACACCCGTAGCATTTTGTAACTGTTTTTAATGGGTCGTTGTCCCTGAATAGTTTCCTATACCCACTGTTATCTTGTTGTTGTTGCTTGTAATTGGTTGTAATTTTGTGGATATCTGAGTGCTCTCTTTCATTCTCTTCTATTTGTTTAGCTTGTGTTTCAGTGGATTCAAATATGAATGCTCTTTGAAGTGCTTCCTCTACTGTTAAATCAGTTTCTTTCAAATACGCATGGCGTAATTAGCTTGATGAGCATTTTTGTATTAATTGGTCCACTATAGTCTTGTCCAGGTTGTATTCACCAAAGTTGCATTTTGCTCCTTGTAGACGGGTGACATAGTCATGTGTTGACTCCCCGTTTTCTTGACTAAGCATCCTGAATTTCAAAGACTTTATTTGTTTTCTGGATGAAATATTCATCCAGTGCTATTTTTGTTGTTTTGTATGTAGGCTCTACTTGGCCTGGTGGTATCTCCGGTGTTAAGGTTTTGAGAATATCTTTCAGTTTCTTTCCCCAGTAAAATCGAAAGAGTGATAGTTGTTGTTTATCATCTGTTATATCAAACACTGTAAATGCGTCTTCAATATGTTCACTCCATTCTCTCCATGCTTGGAATCTTCCCAGTCTAGGGGCTCTATTGTTGGCATAGAGAGAGCCATTTCTTTTGAAATAATTTGTTATTTTCAAAGTTTGTTACTTGCATTGTTGTTGAATTCGAGTACTTTTTTTTCTTCGCTGTTAATTCGAAGTTTTACTCATGTTGTTGTTGAATTCGAGTATTTTTTTTTTTTTTTTGCTGCTAATTCGAAGTTTTACTCGTGTTGTTGTTGAATTTGAGTATTTATTCCTTTGCTGTTAATTCAAAGTTTTACTCGTGTTGTTGTTGAATTTGAGTATTTTTTCCTTTGCTGTTAATTCGAAGTTTTACTCGTGTTGTTGAATTCGAGTATTTTTTCTTTGTTGTTGAGGGGGTAGTGTTTCGTTAATTTGAAGTTTGTTAAATTGTTACATCCTCGTCGTCAGGTTTGCTGTATACTGAAGAGTTCCCACCTCAACCGAGTGGGTTCTATTTATACTTGCGCGGACATCACAGTAATTTATGCAATTCTAAGGTAAAATATTAAAAAGTGTCATTTTTGTAAGTAAATAATTAAACGAATACATTATTCATACTTTTGAGATTAGCCTTTAGCTTGTTTTTTAAACAGTTTCTCCTTTATTATAATTGCATTAGATACAAATAATTGCTAATATTTTTCTGTATTAAACTAGCTTTTAAGAGAGGTTTGTATAGTATAGCCTTATCATGAAAGGTTACCCTATATCGAATCCTTTAAAACTTTTCAGCAACTTGTTTTGTGTAGAGAGATTGTTACTTTATCATCAGGGTTTTTCTGAGCTTTTTTGACACATCTGGAATTTGTATATTGTTAGATAATTACTTTTTGAGATAAATCATATAGAAGTTAATCTGTAAAGTGTTATAATTACAACTAATGAATTTGACTTGATATTAATCCTTTCTTTACACAGAAAGAGTGATTGAACTTTGAAGTTTAAATATAAATCCATATATTGGTTTACTGTATATATACATTTTAATTCAACATTTTATATAAGTCATTAAAACATCTAAAAAAGCAAGTTTGTTATAGTGCTCTCATTCATGGTGAATTGTATTAATGATCAAATAGAATAGTGTTGATACAGCTTCCTGGGTCAGAACATAGTCATCCACACAGCCAATCCATAGTGCAATGAAGGACAAGATCCTCAAAGTATTTCATAATAATATGAGCTACCACAATCCTACAACCAAGCCTTCTTATTGGTTTGGTATTGGAGATAGATTTTCATATGGTTGTTTACTGGTATACTCCTTTATTAATTCATCTGTATCCAACTTGATTGGGCCATGGATTTGGACTTTGTTGAATAAGCACAAAAGATCTATTTATATGTTTGGGAGAGGCACTTCTTTTATAAGGTCTACAAACTAGTTTTAAAATACAGATACAAGTTATTTCTAATATTTCTTATAACTCACTTTGGTTTTCAGTCATGAAGTAATGTTTTATCTGGAAAAAATATAAAGATGCAACATATAACAGAGGATAGCTGAAGAATGGTTAGTTGGTTGTTTTGTTTTACGGCTCATCAACTCCTCATGGGTCATTTAAAGCTGAGATAAAAATTTATATTGTCCCCCACCCTCAATCACATTGTATTAACTATTTATTTTTTATGCAATCTTATGGCTTCAGCTATTTTTCTCCACAATCATATGCTGTCAACTACTTTGGTTGGTTTAGATATCAGTTTTCTTAACTGTTAGGTTTATATTTTTTGGTATAAACCCACTCTTTTGAGAAATGATATCATTCATCCTTGCTCTTTCAAAGAGCTCTTCCATGTTGCTTATGTTGAAGTATGTTTTCCTAGATGGAGCAAGAGCTGTACACTCAGTCAAAACGTGTTTTATAGTGTCTGCAGTTTGGCATGTTGGGCATAGTGATTGTTCTTCTCCTTTCAGTAAGTACAAGTGTGTAATTCTTGTGTAACCAATGCACAAGTAGGTTAATATCTCTTTCTTTAAGGATTTTCCATTCTTAAAGTATTGGCTTGATTTGCAGCAATTTATTTGGTGCACTGTTATTCCAATATTGTTGCCATTTTTGTTTGATAAACTTGTTTATTTGGCTCTTCAGGTCAGTGTATCTTAAAGTTTGGGTCAATTTCTACATTTTTGACATGTTTAGCAGCTAAGTCAGCTTTGTCATTTCTAATTATTCCAGTGTGACTTGAGATCCAAGACATCACAACATTTATCGATATGGATATTAAATGGAGTTTATTTAGCAACTTGATTATTAATGGGTTGTTAGGTTTTTTAGTTTTTAGCTTTGTTAAAACTGGTAGTGAATCAAAAGATTATAAAGTCTTTGTTTTTATTTGTTGAAATACTGCTGAGTGCTAGATCTATGGCACAGGCGGATGGAGGTTTCATCTAGGGGATATTTACTGCTTATTTTCTTCTGGGATATTGCTGCACATCCTGTTGTATTCCCATGTTTGGATCCATCTGTAAAAATTGGTGCGTGTCTGGGATAGTTTTCTTTAATTTTATCAAATTCTTCCTGAAAGTTAAGAGGATACATATTTGTTTTTTGGAATTTGCATAAATCCAATATTATTTTTGAAGACCATATAGTCCACAGAGCAATGTTAGGAATGATATTATCATAAATTATTGCAAGTTGTATTTTTGATTCTTTAACATCAGGTTTCATTTGATCTTAAATGTTTTTATAGTTTTTTCATTTTGCTTATAGAGGTTTTTGTGTTGTGTGAGGAATGTATTTTTGTACTAATTTATATATATATATATATATATATATATATATTCTTTTACTGGATTTTTTATGTCCTTTTATTGTGTATTTCCTTTACATTGCCATCTTGTTTATGTGTTGGGGGTATTATGTTTTGAGTGATTTTTGTTCTTATTTGTCTTTCTTTTTCCCAGGTCTTGCATTATTTATCAGCTCTGTGATCTCCATTGCAGTTGATACATTTTGGTTGATTTTTACATGTTGTTTCATCATGGTTTGGGTCTATTTCCCTACATCTTGAACATATTTGTTTTCTTGTACAATACTTGTTTAGATGGCTATATTTTTGACATTTGTAACATCTCAGATTTGGTATATATTTATCTACTTTGGCTATTAAATAGCCAATTTTAATTTTGGATGGTGATGTGGGAGTATTGAAAGATAATATATATGTGTTTTTATTCATTATCTGGTTTTGTTTTTGTTATCTCTTCTATAATACAAAGAGACAGATCTTCATTATGAACTACACCTCTGGAGGTGTTTAATCTTTCATGTAGGTATGCTTTTACACTAATGTTATGGAATTTTTTAATCTTTAACAGTATGCTCACATGTTTTTTATTTGGTATTTCTGGTTCCATTTTTTTAAAGTTTTTTTACTGACCATTGAGGCTATAACCCTCTGTACCAGAAATAGTGATAATTTAGTTAGTGGTACCTTCTCTTTAGATTTTAATATTATGAATCTAGGAAAGGGTACTTTAGCCTGATCTTGATTAGAATCTGACTATGTGGCATCTTTTCACTTTGGTTTTTCTATCTGTATTCATATAATGAAATTATGTTTCACTGTCTGTGCTCTCTACCCACCACAGAAGCCTATAAGTGGAAATGCCAAGTGGGAAGATCAGCGCTACTCACACCATGACAAAGCAATAATTGAATAACTTACTAAGTCTAAATTCCCAAGTTAACTTCAGGAATAGTTTAAAACAATAACATGATTGGCTCTACAGTCACTGCCATCTAATTCAGCTTTTTCCAGAGTTTGTAAGAATCTGACTCAGGGCTTGGCGTGACCAGCTGGTTGATCAGATTGGGCCTCACCAAATGCCTGTATAGCTCAGGTAAAGGTGAAAGTGATGTGTTGGGATTCAGGAGAAACCATCCCTCCTCCTGAAGCCCTCAATCACCAGGTTCCCATCCATGTCTAACAGAGGTGTAGTCAGCCTATTTTGAAGCTACAGCTAACAGGGTGGGCTGAAGGATGGGAAAGCTAAAATAATAAAAAAATAGTCTTGAAAAAATATGTATATATTAAATTTCCAATACTCACTGTAATACAAAAAGGAGGAAATCAGCAATATCTTCCAAATAAAACTCTGGAAGAGCTGCAAAAGCCATATTTGTGACTTGGGGAAGAGGTAAAGTGGAACTAAAAGAAAAAAAAAAAAAAGATTTATCCAATAAACAGTTAAAAAAATCCAAACTTGGAATTACAGTGCAATAAGTTTTAAAAACATGCTTATGCTTTTAAGTTACACATTAAATTACAGGATATATTGAATGACTTGGTCAAGGACATGTTCAATTAATTTCTGTTTCTAAGTAAATTAAAAAAAAGGCTGCAAATAATTTGAGGCAACTATAAATTAATGTTGTGATGGAGGTGGATTTTACAATGGAGAAAAATAATTTATCAGAAAAAAGATGAAACTAAAAATAATCAATATCTGAATTATCAAATTATCAAAATATTACTTATTGTATATTTTTTTTTTTTATATCTCTGATGCCTAAATAAAAATATCAATAAAGTGTGATATAAGTTCATTTTATTCATTTTAAAACACAACAGAATAAATTTAATGACAAATCTGACCTTAAATTAGAGAACTCAGTTTTGAAGGAAAACTCACCCTTGATGTTTTGGGTCAGCTAATTTTAATAAATAGTCAGCAACTAAACCATAAAACTGCAAACATCTACGGAGAAGAGATTCATCCAACAGACCAGCATTAGAACACAGCTTGCTTGTTTGTAATCGCTGAAATATAATAGTCAACAGAGCTTAAATTAAAAGGAGAGAGAGAGAAAAAGAAGCAACCTCATTTTTATGAAATCAATTGTATACATCCACCTGAGAAGCAAAATCATCCAAACAATAATAAAGATACAATCCATTATCTGCCACAAGACAGTGATATCAGATGAGATGATGTATTTCATGTTTGTTTATAAAGTCACAAACATTTGTAAAATAAATTAAAATCTTTTCTAAACTGAGAAAAAGGAAAATGCGAGAATTCAAATTTAAAAAGAAAATGAGTAAAAGATGGGAAAAAATATATTTGCACCAATTTTCTTAATAAGTGAAGTATGATGACTTCTTAAAGATGAGATTTTATGGCTATGTATTAAAAAAATATTTAAAATCAATTGAGCTACTTTTCAATATATAATGTTAAGCATACTAAAAATAATAGCTATTAAAGATAAGAAAAAAATATGACAAAAATGATCTTAAAGTGATAAAAAACAAGTCAAATGTTCACCTCTCATGGTTCACATGATTCTACTATTTACTATCCTGTGTGAAAATCCAAATAGGAAAAAAGTAATCATTCAAACCTTGATTTGACTGAAATTCAAATGTGCTACCCAGAATTATTTTTACTAAAATATTTAGTTTCATTATTTTACATGATAGATTTCAAAGAAGTTACAGAATTTATGCATAATTTTCCCATATGTATACTAACATAGCATAGAGTATTTCCCCTAGTGACATGACATTTTAAAGAATTTTGATGCTAAGTAGCTGCACAAACATGTCTACAACCACAAGTTATGTTTAATTAGGTACCTCCACGAGATAGCTAAAAAAAAGAGCATAGCATGATGAAAGAGACACCAAACTTGACAAAAACAAAACTTTATCGTCTAAATGTTTATATCATTATTAAGAGGAAATATCAAAGTATTTTTGGGGTATTTTTTTTACATTTTTTAATCATTCCTAGCATGTCCAAAATTTTTGTTAAAAATCTTTTCTTTTTTTTTTTTTAAGTCAGCAAAATTGTCAGATAATTGATTATGGCAACCATTTTTTTTCATTTTATAAAAAAAATGAAAATCTCAGTTTGAAATTCTTTTAAAAATCAATTATCATTTTTTCAAAACTTACTTTAAGAAAATCAGAAATTATAATGTTAATTTAAAATATTTTGAACCAAGCTTAACTTAGCTTCTGCGCCAAAAAGATGTAATTTGAAAATAAAACAAAGCAGGTCATAAACTTTTGCGTCACTTGACAGGTGATGAATGACATATTGAAGGATTACGTGAGGATAATTCCTTCTACGGAAGGAGAGAAGTGAAGCTATTTACATTTAAGTGAACAAATTATTTACCTCGTTATTTTTAAGGAAAACTTTCAGCACTCTAATTTTTTTTTGTACTTAGCTTTCACCTTTATGTTTACGATGCTTTATGAAAAATATATTATAAAGAAATTAAAAAATAAGACTGTTAAGAGTTAGATTAAATTTCATAAGAAAGGTATCTAATTTATAGGTACCTTTCTTATGAAATTTTATCAAAAGTGTACATAAAATACTATAATTTTATGTACATTTACTACATTTTACTGTGTTATTTGTATTTCCATTCATTTTATTATTAATTTTGATATTTCATTTATGGAAAAATGTCATAACAGATTAATATAAAAATAAGATCATATAAATTTCATAAGATGATACTGATACTTGTAGGCACCCTTCTTAGTTGAGATTGAAAAATTAAATTAACTTCTCCGCACGTGTTTCGCGAAAGTAAAGGCCTTAACAGCAGAGAACAATGCTTAACGCAACTTAATTGTATTCTGGTTGGTCTTCCGTACTTTATAATTACAGCCAAATTGTAAACACAAAATTACATTTCTTAATTACTGTGTGTCTTCTGATTAGTCAAAACGATACAATTTACAACGCACTAAAAAAAGATCTATCTCATGAGGACACTTACGAAAGCAGATGCAGCTTTTAATTAATTTTATAATATTTTAACAACTTAAATGTAAAAATCTATTATAATTAAAGAAATAACAAATAATTGTATTAAAAATTCATTTTTCATTGAAAAAATTTTTTGCTTTCAGAAAACATTGTCCATACTCATAATAACAACTAAAAGCAAATAAAAGCATTTGAAATTAAATAATATCTATGTTTTGAGTTTTGTATTTTACAATTCAGAGCTGATTTTCAGGTGTGTGTGTGTGGAGGGGGGGATTAAAAACAAAAAAACATGATTTGCATTCTTCAAAGCCTTGTGCTTTTAACTATTGTAATCACTAAAGTGGACTTGATCGAATTTATAGAGTTTTCCTAAAATTAGTTATGGTGGTGGGGTAATAAATATAAAAAAAAAATTATTTCTGCCATGACTTTAAGAAGAAAAAAAAACATTCATAATAATTTCCGTCATCAGTGAATAGTTTCTGAAAGTTTCATTAACATCAGACAATTATTTTTATTTTAGCAAGATTTTCCAAATTAATGTGTGTCATACAAAAAAAAAAAAAACGTGCTAAAAATTGTATATGTTATTTTACTAGTTCCGGTGACACAAAGAGAAACAAGGTTTTTTTAATCAAAATTTAGAATGTTCTAAAAAGGAGAAAAAATTAAAAAAAATAATTAAAATAAACTTTGGTCTTTCCTCTTCATAATAACAAACATTTAGACAATAAAATTTTGTTTTTGTCAAGTTTGATGTCTTTTTCATCATGCTATGCTCTTTTTTTACCGATCTCGTGGAGGTACCTAGTTTAATTATGAGGTTTATGTATTTTACAGCATGTTATGTCCGTTTCCTAGCATGCCATCATGTACTAATTTTTAATTAATTTACATTTCTATATAACATGTCAATAATACAAATGTAAAACTTAAAAAATTTTCACAGAACACAAAACAAATTTCTGAAATTGTATTTGCTACTTCACTTGATAGTACCTATATAGTACTATAATATATTAGAAATAAACTAATTTTGAACAGGTTAATAAAATGTAACATTCCAAGTAATCTAAATATAGTATAAAAAATGAGGATGAATAATTATTAAAAGTGAGTTGTCTTCTTTGAAATTAGATACCAATGAGGTGAAAAATTCCAAGAGTTTAATTTAGGTGCCCCCACTTTTTTGTTAAAAAAACAGCATAATATGATGAAAAAAGCTCCAAACTTAATAAAAACAAAATTTCTTGTCAAAATGTTTGTTATTATTAAGTATACCAAAGTATTTTTTAATTATTTTTTAAATCTTTTCTAACACTTTCAAAATTTTTGTAAAAAATCTTGATTTTTAAGCATCAACAGTGTAACAGAGAAGACTGGAAATTTTTTGTGCTTTCTTTCAGTAAAATAACACATTAATTTGGAAATTCTTGGAAAAATCAAATAATTGTCAGATTTTAATGAAACTTTCAGGACTTATTCTCAAATGAATGAATTTATTTTTTAAATTATTATTTTTAGAAAATCTTGGTAAAAATATATATATATATTTTTTTTTTTTACATGTTAACCCTCCCACCACTTAATTTTATGAAATTTCTTGAAATTAAATTTTGATCACACACTTTGTTTTATTAGTTAAACACGGGACTCCTTGGAGAATGTAGATCATCTATTTTTTTTTTCAAACAGTTACTGCTTTTCTGAAAATCTGCTCTGAAAAGTAAAATCAAAATTGCAATAAAACTATGACATTCTTTAAAACTGATCGCGTTAGATTATAAACATACCCATTTTGAAAGTATACACAACATTACCAGAAAATAAGATCTGTGACTACATTAAATTTAAAGTCAACATTCCTAAAATTACATTACAGTGAATATTTCCAATGTTTTTAAGATTACTGAGTACTTAAAGATTATAAAAACGCATTCACCCATCATTTTCTTAAATTATGTTTTAACATTGCAGCTGCCTTTCCGCTATATGGTTATTCGTCCAGGACTACAACCAGCCATTGAAAGATGTATTTGTTTCCTGTAGTGAGTCACATCTATCACTAGCTTCTTTCAACAGCTCACTTCTTTGTGCACACACAGCACAGGAGCAATCAACTGACACCAGTCATAACCACATTTCTGGAAACTTCCCTGGTGACACGAGGGTTCACTTTTCTGGCACAAAACAATGTCCCGTTTATACCTATATGGTACATACCATGCAACTCCTTCAATACATGGCCCCAACAAACAAGTATATAGGAGTTATTACTTTTATTTTTTTTATTACACCCCCAAACCTACCTGCTGTTTTAACTTGTATTCATAAATTAGCATGTCCATAATCTCCAGATGATACTTTATGAGCATTTCCATGAGTACTTTTGTTCACACTTTTTTTTTTTCTTAATCAGTGATCACAGTCTGCTTATATGCAAACAGAAATTAAATCAGTTCTTATTTCAATATCCCACAGCCACAATGCTAAATTAAGTTCTTTCATCATGGTATCTATTGTGGAGATGAACACACCTCTCCAGAATATGAGTTGGACTCATCCAAGTAGCATATATACAGATGCTGAGAATCATCAGCTGAGCTAGTTGGAAGCGAGCCTTATATTTTTACTACAGAATTCAGTAAGACTACGTTGATTTCATGATTGTGTAATATTCATTCAATGGAATGAAGACATAACAGTGGTGACAAGGAATCAAATTCACATGAAAAAGAAAAAAAAAGTTTTTCTTCAGAGTTAATGACTACTTGTACAAACATAATATAGTATGGAGGAATTGAAGATAATTATTCAGTTACAGCAAGAATTCTAGGAGACATTATTACAATACAGCAGCAGAAGATTCAATATTGAGAACAGCTAAAGGCAATCCTGGAAAAGCAAGGAACAGGTAATGTGTCAATTTCATTTTCACTGAACTCAGTCACTAACTCAATTAGTGAATTTAATTATGTCCAAGAAGAAAACATTACATTCTTATCATATGAGGCCATTTTCAAAG